GTGATGTGCTTTATGTATACATGCTCACCTCCATCTAGCACGAGACCTTTTAGGAGCTCACTGGCCCATGACTCCGAAGTTAAGTGAGTGGAGCTAGAGCAATCACAGGATGAGTGACCCACTGAAAAATTGCTCGTGAATTCCTAAAAACAAAAGCATGAGGGCAGAGAATGGGGCCCAAAGCGGACAATATCGTGCTACAGTGGAACCCGACGAGGACATCAGACCCTTAAAGTGGGTGGATTATAACATCCCACATCGATCAATGGAGAGGGGGTGATGTGTCTTATGTGTACATGCTCACCTTCATCTAGCACGAGACTTTTTGGGAGCTCACTGGCTTTAGAGTCATGTGAACTCCGAAGTTAAGCAAGTTGGAGCTAGAGCAATCCTAGAATGGGTGACTCACTGGGAAGTTGCTTGTGAGTTCCCAAAAACAAAACCGTGAGGGCAGAGAGGGGGGCCCAAAACGGACAATATCTTGTTACGGCAGAGCCGATCCCATATTGTGATGTGACAGTCAAATAATAGAATAGGTGGGTTACGTGAGTTGAGGTTTATTTTTGTAATATAACTAAAATGATGAAATCAGTTTGTCTTTAACACCACAAAGTTATAATCCCGATAAACTGATATTTGATCATTTTACAGAAGTAAAACAATTCATGTGTTGTTTAATTGTGAACATAACAAAAATATCAAACACATATCTCGGTCCGTAGTTGGTGAAGTATGTGTGTGTATATATATATATATATATTCTAAATTTATTTTCACATGTTTACTTTTATCATGGAAAATTGATTTTTATGTCATACTTGACAGTACCTATATTCAAGGATATGTAAAATGCAAAATATTAAGTTTAGATTTGACAGCCTATGTTACAAATTGACACTTTGTAAATTTTTTAATCATCTTAAATGTCAAATCTATTATTTTATTATATTTTGAAAGAAAATAAGACTCATGATAATTAAAGCTTAAAAAAAATAATGGGCCCAACAAAGAAAAGTATCAAAATAACATCTAACTCAAAGACATATATAAATTTGAATACTTGGTTGAAAAAAAATTTCATTCAATTCTTATCATTTCAATTCACAAGGTGGACATATTGTGCGGAGACATGCACATTCAAAATATCAGTAAATTCACACTGATTAATATGTTTAATGAAGTCAACGAGGGTTGATTGAGTTAGTAAGGATCGTTCTCTTCACTATTAAGGTCTAGATTCGAGTTGCGCTGTCAATAATCTCTCTTTGTGGGTAATCTATAAAAACCAAAAATGGGCTAAGACCCCTCTGTAAATCCTCAAAGAAACTTTGGTATACCATGACCCTAGAATGGGGTAGCCTCCCCTCCTAAACTTTTCATCACAGATAATATGTCTAATAAATTGTCCTTAGTCGCATGCTGTATATTAATATGTCCAATGAATTGTCCTTAGTCGCATGCAATGAAAATGTCCTAACATAATCTCTGTCAGACAAGAATAATCATTGTCACTATCATTAGTTAATTGTATTATGAATTAAGTTCATCTCCTTCACGTGAATGAAAATGAAATTGCCTTGCTCTGTTGCTCATCAATCATGTGCTTTCCCTAATTGATAGATCGCCTAGTCTAAACTTTTTCATAAATGGGCGAATGGACTTTTCTAATTCTATGATCAAATTAATTCTCACAAACAACAATCAAAATTAATCAATTATATTTGGACTATAACATATTCATAAAAAATAATTAAATAAACATTTAATCAAAATATTATTTAAACAATATATGGCTGTCCGTTCAATAGTAATTGAATTAAAAAATTCATTTGACATGTTTTAAGTTCGTCCATGTACGTTGTTCTTGCCATGGAGCACCTAATCCTGTCAATTTGTATTAAGGGGCTCGAGGAGTAGGGAGGATAGGAGAATTAACCCTTTTTTTTGGACGTTGTTTATGACTAATTAACTGAAAAATAGTTCAATCAGTCACGATCGCCTTAGTTAATTATGACTGAAAATTAGTTATTTATTCTTACTATTGGTATCTCTATAAAATGTCAACGTTATTAGTCGTGAATATTTTTGTAACGTTCATGTGAAAACCGACAAGTTGGTAGAAGATATTTAGAGTTGAATTGAAATCTTTTCTGAGTAAAGGAAAGAGAAGTCATAATACAACTATTACGTGCATGAAGTTGCTCTTATCTATACAAAAATGTTTCTGAGCTTCTTCACCTATTGTCAATTGAATTTTGACTAAACGCTTTAATTTGGTCAACTTTTATGAACCAATACGAGAATTTGATTTAGTAAAACGAAACACGTAGCCTTTCTTTTCCTTTTTCCTTTTTTAACTAGACAATCGAAAGAGTTGGACTTTGGAAGATAAATTTAACCCTAATCTTATAGCTAGCTCATCAATCGATTCATGAGTACGTGAGTGTTATGCAATGTATC